GTTTAAATTTAAAATTCGGCTTACTTTTTTTACGTCCCATCGTCTTAAAACACTACTTAGTACACTTTTTAAGTCATTTTAGCACTAATATTCCTCGAAATTATCTCTATTTTTTCCCCAACTTCTCGATATCACACAGAAATCCAATTAACACACAATTAAAACATTTTTTCCGTATTAGAAATAGAAGCACTACACTACTGGGTCTTTTCTGCGTTTTGTACAATGAAAGTGCGAAATTTTTCTTTTAAAAATAATCCGTGGTCGGCTGCCAACGCCGCCTGTGTCCGATTCTTCGGTTTGCACGGCTCACTCGATGCAACGTGCATGCGTAGATTTTCTAATAATATCCGCGTGCGGCCGCGGAGACACTTTTCGGACGCATTCTTTTCCGACACGTCTCAAAATTTTGAACCTGGGACGGTGGGCTAATAAAATTTCGAAGAATTTATTAGCCCATGGTAGATTTTGATAAAATTTCGATAATTTTATTAGCCATACATCAGACTTATTAATTTTTCTCTTCAAGAGCCTTTCTCTGTTGTCTTTTTTCGAAATCGCATTTTTTTGTATCAAGCTGTGGGCTAATAAGAAATTTCAAATTTTATTACACTTTGTTTTTTTTCTCAGGTAAGATTTCGACAGACGATGACAGAAGAAAAGCAGATGACGTCCCATACCAATCTATTTATTTTTCTAAAAAAGTTTCTAATATTTTTTAAGTTAACTATGGATGGGTTTAAATATAAATCCGTCATGAGTCATCTCCTGCTGTTTTTAACCAGTTTTATTGGTATATTTCACAAATGACAGTTCATATTTCAATTTTATTGATTTGACGGAACGATGAACGACAAACGGATGCCGATGCGTATGAACTCGCCTTTAGATTTTTGAGGCTTGTCAAAGTCTTGCCAAATTATAGGTTATAATTTTGTGTCAACTTATGTCAAATACCCTGCGTTTTGGAAGATGATGCATTTTGATTCGTGTTATTACGTGTGTTTTGTGTCTTTTGAAGTCAAGTGGAGGAAAAATCGAGTGAAAATTAACTGTAGACCCAGAGCACAGTTTATAGTTAATACTCGCTGCCCAGGCAGAAAGTCTTATACACCAATAAATTTACCATCAATAAAGTTTGTATACCATCTCGTCGTTGATAAGTGCATCTCGTATATGCTACAAGGATCGTACTAAACATATACTACTGGAGTAGCTGTAAAATATCGACATCACACGATAGGTAAATAACATGGTACAAAGAAAACAAGGTATGATCGATAGCGGCTCCAATTTCGTTAAGTTTGCGCATACCACCTGTGACGTCAAACGCCATACAAAAAAATATCCATGCCACTAATAAAAAAAGACCTAAAATAGGGAAGAATTAAGAAATAACCCCAAAAGTTATGTCAATCATCGAGCTTGACATTTGAAAAAATATTTTCACATTTATTGTGTCATCTGTTTGACAATATTTTGACAATTTGAAATTGGCGCGCGGAACTTGCTGACCAATGGTGCCGTTTATCACCTGTGACGTAGTGACCAACCTGCGCAATATCATACCTTGTATTCTTTGTATCATGGGTAAATAATGGATTTTAGTACTGCAGAAAAATAATGTCAAAAGGTACTGGTTTAAAAAAATTAAGATTAAGGTTAATTAATCAACCTTTAAGGTATAAAATTTGGTAAGTGTTATTATTAATAAAATAGTTTGTTTTATTTATTCCTGTGGAATATTACAAATTTGTATTTGTACAGGGTGTCCCACTAAGAATAGCTCTCGGCTGTATCTCGGAAAGTATTAGCCGTAGCGGCTGCGGAAAAAAATATTTATAACTAAAGAGGCTATGAGAAATTGCTGGAAATTATTTTCAAGTGTGTAGAACGACCGCTAGGGGGCGCAACTGCAACAAAAAATAAGAAAATGGAGTTTTTCACAATAAGTAATAGCTTCTTAATCTTTAGAAAATTTTGAAGATTTTTTGTTAGAGCCATTTTCCCCTATCTACCAAAATAAAGTGGTGGGGGAAGGTTAAATCTGTTTTTATTTAAACATTAATAACTCTGGACTGCATGATCGGAATCCAACAAGCGAGGGCTCGTTTAAAAGAGCGTTTCTTACTCTATATTATACCATATAAACAATAATAATAAGCTTTTGGACGTAGACGCTAGGGGGCGTTGTCTTATGATTTAACAAACATTGCGCGTTTATTCAAAAAAATTAAATACAATAGTATATGTAATTTTAGCTAATCGGAACGAGTAGAAAAAGCTTAAAAAGTCAGCGAAAACCGCTTCTTGATATCTTCTTTCAAACCGAAGATATTAGCAAAATTATAATAAATACCAAAAAACACGCTCTTAATTACCTTATTTTTACAACACAGTATCAGTAGCCCTCTTGATTATGCCCATTCTAACAAAAAATAAGATAGAAACAGTTAGTTTATTTTAAAATCGACGAAATACCAGAATACCATAATACCAGAGATATTAATATCTAATAATTAAGATATTAATAACAGTGGACAAGAAACGATGATTCGGTGAAGTTATGGTAGGCTTTGGAAAAAAGGTGCTTTTGACGTAATAGTATAAACATCAAATTGTTATTAGATCAACATTTTGATAGTCTTAGCAGCAATAAAATACTAAATCACCACAATACACCAAAACACTTTTACTTTTACACTGGACTCGCGTTTCGCTAACCATGTTAGCATCATCAGCAGATGATTATAAACAGTTTATAATCATCTGCTGATGATGCTAACATGGTTAGCGAAACGCGCGGTGTATTGTGGTGATTTAGTGTTTTATTGCTGTGTAACACCAAAGGTTCCAACCCTCAACTGTAATCAGTCTTAGCAGCGTTTTTTATATTTTGATTGCGTTTTCAAAATGCCAACAACTTCAACTACTTCAAATAATAAAAGCAATAAAAAACGCTGCTAAGGCTATCAAAATGTTGGTCTAATAACAATTTGACGTTTATACTATTACGTCAAAAGCAACTTTTTTCCAAAGCCTACCATGACTTCATTGAATCATCGTTTCTTGTTCACTGTTATCTTAACTATTAGATATTAATACATCTGGTATTATGGTATTCTGGTATTTCGTCGATTTTAAAATATACTTAACTGTTTTTATCTTATTTTTTTGTTAGAATGGGCATAATCAAGAGGGATACTGATACCGTATTGTAAAAATAAGGTAATTAAGAGCTTATTTTTTCGTATTTATTATAATTCTGGTAATATCTTCGGTTTGAAAGAAGATATCAAGATGCGGTTTTCGCTGACTTTTTAAGCTTTTTCTACTCTTTCCGATCAGCTAAAATTACATATACTATTATATTTAATTTTTTTTTAAAAAACGCTCAATGTTAGTTAAATTGTAAGACAACGCCTCCTAGCGTCTATGTTCAAAAGCTTATTATTATTGTTTATATGGTATAATATAGAGTAAAAAACGCTCTTTTAAACGAGCCCTCGCTTGTTGGATTCCGATCATCCAGTGCAGAGTTATTAAAGTTTAAATAAAAACAGATCTAACCTTCCCCCACCACTTTATTTTAGTAGATAGAGGAAAATGGCTCTGACAAAAAATATTCAAAATTTACTGAAGATAATGAAGCTATTACTTATAGTACACCTTATCTAGGCAAAATTGTGTAAAAACTCCATTTTCTTATTTTTTATTGCAGTTGCGCCCCCTAGCGGTCATTCTAAAAATTTGAAAATAATTTCCAGCAATTTCTCATAGCCTCTTTAGTTATAAATATTTTTTTCCGCAGCCTCTACGGTTAATAGTTTCCGAGATACAGCCGAGAGCTATTCTTAGTGGGACACCCGGTACATAGGTAAGTTATATTGATAAATATAATAATAAATGCGGGAAGTTTCTTGAAGCTTGAAAATAAGAAATAGTTTTTTTTTGTATGTGGTGTTTTGTTCATGTTTCTTTTGTATTAACACATACCGTTTTTTTAAATAAAAGAACTCGATTACATTTTTTCACTTTTATACAGTTTTTTTTTCACAATATTTTGAAATAATCACTTGTCAGTCAAATTTTAAATGTATTAATTTCCTGCTATGCGTTCCAGTTGTACCAACTTATTTCTTTGTAAAATAAAACAAATTACTTTGAAATTAAAATGACAGACACATCTACCACTGTCAAGGATCTTGTCGTGGGACAGACTATAGTCCGCCCTAAACCTTTATATTTTTTACTTCAAAAATCATATCTATGTTTTTTCTTTAAACTGCATTACTGAATTTGACTGTGGGCTAATAAAAAAATTATTAACCCACAATGAACTTAGTATTTCATAATATTATAAGAACACTTTACCTAAAATATGAATATCCTACAGATCTAATCGTAGACTATCAAGAAAATTTACTAGGAAAAAATCAAAGCGCCAATAACCTTTCATGAATAATATTAATCCACGGTAGCATTAAGTAAAATTTTTAAATTTTTATTAGCCCACACTAGTTCTCTGTGTCTTTCACCCAAATCGCATTTTTAAGTATTCTATGCACTACAGATTAAACCACTAAAACAAAGTATTATCATGAATCAAAATCCTTATAAATCAAGACTAAAAACACATTTTTTTAAAAATACATCATCAGTTACTATGAATAGATGCTGGTTTCATAAAAATCATTATCCTAAATTTAAACGTAATGTATATTATTGCTATTTATCTTTCGAAAAACGAGGTCATCTCCGACAGAGCTATTTTTTAAAGAAAAAAAAACGCTAGACAGACGTACGTAGTAAAACACAGGATGAAAATAAATTAAGTGCGAAAAAATTCGGAAAATGATTGCTTTTCAAGAATAATGCGATACAATATACAGAGTAAAACAGTTCTAAAGATATTAACAACGGATGGATAAAAGAACACCTAAAATAAACAACAAAAAATAGAAATAAAAAAAATTAAAAAAGGATTTTTTTCAACTTACCATTATTCGATATACTGACATCTGGAGCCTGTTGGGGTTGACTTTGGGGCTGTTCCGGTTCACTGGTTGACAGTTTCTTCCCTTTCTTTTCGGCAGATTCTTTCTGCGTTTCCTTAGCCGCGACAGGTTGGTGCGCCTGTTCAACTGGGATAGGGGCACTGACGGGTGTCTGTTGAGGCACTACATGTTGTTTCTCTTCTTTAACTGAAAACCAAGAAAAAACATACACATTATTAAATCCTTTTAATAAAAAGATTAAGGAAGGACTATAATGCTATCTATGTATTCATGCATGGTCGACGGAAAGAGAACTCTAGGATGGGGATCCTTGACAGTTCTGTTTGACGATTGATTTGAGACATTTGAATTTGATTTCAAAGGGTATAGCCGGATTAATATGAGAAATCTGCCCCCGCGGCTTTTTTGACTCGCACTCAGGGGATCGATTTGGTATCGAATCAAAATAATTCACTTAAATTTTTAGCTAACCAAACGGTTTTCGAGATTTTCAAAAAGAAATGTTTTTTCAATTTTATTTTTATTTTTATAGTAAAATTCAAAACTAATTAATGATATTTTTTTTCTAATTCTTAGAAGTCTGAGACATGAAAAAATAATATGATCATGATTCTTATTATTTTAAATTTAATTTTTTTAACCTTTGTGAAATATGTCACTCACTAAAAATCGTCAGAAAATGTCTTTTAGGCTCCTTTACACTGAGGAATTTTTTAGAATTTTTTGAAGTGGTGGAAGAATATGAAAAAAATTAAAAACTCACTTTTTTTCTAAAATCTTGTGTTTTCACCAGGGTTGGCATGATTTAAATCAAGTGATTTTTTTAATTTTAATCAGGTGATTTAAATAAAAAATCAACTTTTTTAAAACTTTACAATAAATCGAAAAATAACTGTAAACGTTATAAAAATGTGTCCTAGAAAACTATAAAAAATATTTCTATAACATATATACCTTATATCTATTCGTTAAATAAAATGTTACACTTGCTATTGTAACGTTTAAATGCGTTTAATAAATCGAAAAAAAATTGTAAATGTTATAAAACTATATAAAAAAATGATTTGTATAACACATATACCTACTACATATGTATTCATCAATTAAAATGTTGGACCGATTTTTGAAGTAATTTCGTGTGAATCCATTACTCTTCTAACTTCTAAAGGGTAGAGATTTATTTCGAAATTTATGTACAAGTGACAAAAAAATGCTGTTCGAATACATTTCATTCGGAACCTCTAGTGCAGAAAAGGGTTCTTTTGATGTTAGACTATATCTTCAAATCGTTGTCAGAAAATATGCTGTTTTATATTTCTTTATTTTACACTTTGACAATAGATAATACTAATTTGATTCTCGACTTAAGACTATTTCCGAACAATAGTGTATTGTGTAAGGAGTAAAAATTAAAAATTATACTTTTTTGACGAGGTTGTACGTACCAGCGTAAACAGGCAGGCACAAAAGTACATTTTTACTCTGAGTAGAATATACTATATTTTTACAAATTAAACATTACAAATAATTTTTTGATCAATTTCAAACTTTGCAAATAATGTAAAAAGTAATGCCTTGTAAGTAATTGAGTAACAATTTGTACACTCGTTGAAATTGACTCTTAATATCAGTTTAGTAATATATTTTTGTACTTTTGTGCTTAGGCGTAAAAGTGCTTTACTTTTATGCATAGACGTTGAAATGACAAAAATTAAAGCTCTTGTGGCATTTCAAAAAAAAATCCTTTTGATCTGATGCGAGCGACTTTTTTTGCGGAATATATTGGTGACCGATGAGGGAAAAGACACGCGACGTAGAATTGTTGATGTTGTCAGTATTGGGCAGAGTTATGAATATTACCATTTAGGATAGGACTTTAATTGGAATTAAGTCCTAATTATTTGGAAATCCGATTTAAATAACGTTTTCTATTGATTTAAATCAAAAAAATCTGATTTAAATAAAAAAATAATTTGATTTTTTAAAAAAAAATCATGATTTTTTCCAACCCTAGTTAAACTAACTTATATTTTCGTTTAGTTTAAAAAAGTGCGTTGGAAAATATTTTTTCATTAAAAATACATCCTTGCCAGAAATAAATATAAAGATTATTATAATAAAATGAGTCCGAGAATATTTTAGAAAAAAATGAGTTTTTATTTTTTTTCATATTGTTCCACCACTCCGATTCTAAAAAATTCCTCAGTATAAAGGAGCATAAAAGACATTTTCTGACGATTTTTAGTGAGTGACATATTTCACAAAGGTTAAAAAAATGAAGATTTTAATTTTCTTTCCTTCGCTAAAAATCGGCTTTTCGTTTAAGAATCATGATCATATTTTTTCATGTCTCAGACTTCTAAGAATTAGAAAAAAATCATCATTAATTAATTTTGAATTTTACTATAAAAATAAAATTGAAAAATCAGTTTTTTTTGAAAATCTCAAAAACCGTTTGAGTTAAAGAGCTAAAAATTTAGGTAAATTATTTTGATTCGTCACCAAATCGATTCCTTGAGTGCGAGTTAAAAAAGCGGGCAGATTTCCCATATTAATCCGGCTTTACCCTTTTGTGGATTTGTCAGCCTTTACTGAGCTTATTTTATGTTATTTATTATTTTACTACTGATAGTTGTTTAAAGGTAGTAAATCTAGAAGGAAATTGTAGCAGAACTTAAATAAACAGTGACACTATTGCGATTTATCGAAAAAGACTGTAAAATCGCCTTAATTGGGTCTTGTGCAGAACAGGTCCCCACGAATTCGAGGTTTTTTTAATTTTTAATGTGGATCCCATAGTTAATGGAATAGTTTAAAAGAAAAAAATTGTTGGATGAACCACTTTTTCTACGAAAAAAATAATTGAAAATTCGAAATTTTCACTACATTTCAATGCGAAAACTCCCTATTATAACCTTCATAAAGCCAGTAAAATACAAGGTTATGCACAGTGTTGCCATACTCACCGTGTAAAATCGACGAAAACGTTCTACTTTATATTCGTTTTTTTTACATTTAGTACGTACTTTAAGAACACGAAAAATTAAAAATATAATAAACGAGGCAAAACAAAAAACACTATAAAAATAAATTGACAATAAAATCATTACACAGTATTTAGCACAATTGTTTAGTTATAATTGTTTAAAAATGTATTTTCCCGGATTTGTTTAGTAAGATTGAATCGATATGATTTCGGAATTCCAAACACTCCCACCAAATAAATTGGTCTATATCGAATATATTCGGAGATAAAGGGAGACTGCATACATATTCGTCACAAGAACCTAAATCAAATTCGTATTAAAAAAGAGAAAAAGGAAAAAAAACAAAGTGAAATAAGAGTAATCAAAACACGCGTAAGAAATTACTCTATTTATCTAACCTAACCAACAATCTGACCTAACCTAACCAATGCATTAACACCCCCAAATAACCAGGCTAACCAATGCATTAACACCCTCCAAATAACCAGGCTAACCAATGCATTACCACCCTCCAAACAACCAGGCTAACCTAATTGTGCCTAATGACAAAACTTCATTGATTACGCGTCGAAAAATAGTAGAACCTGAAAAATCCGCAAATTTTATTTCAGAAATTGCTTTAAAATAATCCACACTAACGAATAAGCTACTAGACAGCGTTCAATTTTTGTTGCACTAAAGTCATAACTTACCGTTTTAAGTCCCTCCACAACGTCAACTTTATTTCAAAAGAAAATCATAAAATAATTTTATCAACGTCGCAAATTCAATGCGAAGGCCATAGATGACATACCGATGATCGATTAACTGTCAATCGAAAAAGTCATAAAATTGCTGGCTTGAGATGATGTAAATAAATATATTTTCTTAATTTTTATGCTTACAAAGAAGATTCGTTACATTTTTGTGCTTAAATTAGGTCATTCCACGTCTATATAAAGTAATAAAGTGCTAATACGTGATGTTTTTACTGAATCCGTGTAGAAAATTTTACATATTTACTGTCCGTCGCCTGTACCTAAAATACGTTTTTTTGCCGCTTTTTAAAGATAAAACACATTCATCCAACAATTTTTATGCTTAAAAATGTTCAATTTAAGATAATCTTGCAAAAAAATCCCAAAAAGTGTTAAATGCGTGGGGACCTATTGTGCACCAGAGCCAAATAGTTGGTTGTGTAGCATGCGGTAGATCTCGGTCAAAAATCGAGAGAAATAATAAAATAACTTTTCGCTAGTAAGTGGCTATATAATATACATACGTGTAGTAAACCGATCATTTATGAAATTCACTTAAATTAACTAATAATATATTTTTTCTTGCATTTTTGCTTTTATTTACTACTTGTCAAAGATTAGATGTCAAAGAATTTAGATACGTTAATTTGATTTACCCATAGACTTAAAATAAAATATAGACTGAGCATCTCATTCATAAATAGCTGGAACATGCGGTCAGACACTGTCTTGTTATTGTTGTGTTATTGTTTTAGGTTATAACGAGTGCGACACGAGCGATAGATAGGTTGTCTCTGTCGTAACGGTCGTTCCCTGACGACTCTGCCGAGAAACACCTACACTGTCTTTCGTTTCTCAAGTACACCTGAACTCTCCGTATCATAGCCGGGTAATTTTTTTCTTTTAATGAAGCTATAATTAAATTAAAAATATATCGTATTTAAACTTGTTTATATTTTATTAAGATTTAGGACAGGTTTTTTAAATAAAACTTTAGAAAAAACAATTTAGAGTCCAAAAAGGATAAAAATAATAAAATACACGTTATAGAAGAAATTTTATAATCGAAATTAGGTAATTTTTGAAATTAATAATAAATTATTAATTTTAGTCAAACATTTACAACCCCTAATATTAATCAAAACAGGATCTATTCCACAGATATAATAGAATCGGCGACAGGGAGAGAAAAAAAAAATATGATTGTTGTAATTTTTTTCTGGTTAAGTGATGTCTTATTATGTAAATTAGAGAAAACATAAATCTGTTCCATTAAAGCAAGGAAGGTGATAGGAAGTGGATAAAATAAAAACTACATTTATTTAACTCGGTACTGTCTTTATTATACCGGGTGCGTCTCAAAAGTGGCTCATCCCCATAATTTTTTTATATTTTCAAATAAAAAAACAAGATTTAGTATGTTAGTATATGAAATAAATTAGGATTGATTGACGCATTCAATTGTTTTTGGTCACTTCCTGTTTCACCGGAAATGACTATAACGGCACCCTCGGTATATTTCTACTTTATTCGATAGAAAATGACACTCTGAATAGAATGACATATCATATGTCAACTTTTGACATTTTCGCATATGGTTTAATTGTAATTGTAACACGCGGTTCATAACGACAATTTGACTCGAAATACCAAGTGTGTGGTATCAATATATTCATAAAAAAATGCTTTTTCCAAATATGCTAATGAGTCACCCTTGTTCCATTTGAAAAAATTGACATATGTATGATTAAAAATACGATTTGTACATCTTTTAACCGGCCTAGCCAAGACACGAAACCTATTAGACGATCAAAACTATTTTTCCAAGGCTCCTTGATTAAAACTTAGTGGATTGAAAAAACTGGATTGAAATTTAAAATAGGATATGTTTTTAAGCGACAATGTCAAAAGTTGACATATGATATGTCATTCTATTCAGAGTGTCATTTTTATCGAATAAAGTAGCAATATACCGAGGGTGCCTTTAAAAATCAAAAGATGTAATCATTTCGGTGAAACAGGAAGAGACCAAAAACAATTGAATACGTCAATAAATCCTAATTTATGTCATATACCTACTAACATACAAATCTGTTTTTTTATCTGAAAAAATAAAAAAAGTTATAGGGTTGAGCCCCTTTTGAGACGACCCGGTATATTAAAAAATATTGTTTCATAATGTAATATCATTTTAAAATTATGTTATTTATTTATGTTATTTTTTATTTATGTTATTTTAGATTCTGAAGATAATTTTAGAATAAACCGGAATATATTTTTAATAAAAACATTATTAATTATTAACAGGGTTATAATTATGATTTTGTTACAATGTAAGTAAGTAAATAATGTAATGTAAAAGAAAAAATTCAGATTTTACATTTTACTAAAATATTATCTAAATAAGCGCCTTTCTACAACAACGCCACTGACTGCCAATGGGTAAATTGAGAGTTGCCTACCGGTCAAAGTCTTTTCAAGACTTAAATGGATTATTTAAGTCAAATTTCTTGCAAATTTGGCACTGGCGAACCATATTTTATAGTTTTTGAACAGAAAAAGTCAATAAAATAAACACTTAAGGACTACAAGCTAAGAAAATGCGTTAATACAGCCGGGGAGATAGCGGCAACAAAGCTTTACCGCACACGTGCGACACGTACTACAAGGTAATAAATGAATGAATAGGCTCCCTCGCCTCTAATCGGTGTTGTCATATTGTAAAGAACTTATCCTTATTAAACAGTATCCGACTTATAATTTAGTAGTATAAGGACTATTTAATACATCTATGGAATATTAAAATCTACTTTATTAAACTGTAGTATTAATATCTCAATATATGTGTATAACAAGAAAAAAAAACATAGGCTGGATGAGGAAGGCTCGGTCGACTGTACCCAGAAGTAAACATGTGTACAAAAAAGGTTGTTTGTCCGCGTTGAGATGTAAATAGTGTAGTCTATATTTTATTTTAAGTCTATGGATTTACCAGATTTACCTGCTTCAGTAGCGTATCGGATGTTTGTGTTAATAAATAATTATTATAATTTATCTATTTTTATTAGAATTGTATATTTTTATATAACAATTTTAATAACTACCAACATTTATTCACAAATTAAAATAAAACAAAACAATTATTGAGTCTACCCTACATCATATTTTTACACGTTTTGAATAAAATTAAGACGGCACTGATAAACCGGAATTTAAGTCGGCCATTTTAGAGTCCCGTCGCCGTCAATCTAAGTGCGGCGTTACACGGTCCGTTTTTGCGACATCCCGTTTTGCAGGATGCCGCAGAAACGGATCGTGGCCTCCAATTATACGATCCTGCAAAAAAGGGTTCGTGCAGCTACTACGCACATTTTGATATTGTGTGGCAGACGCGAAGGAACTATGTCCCTTTCAAAATTAAACATTGTTTTATTACTTGAAGCTAAAAATTTATTACGAGAGCCGAAATGCCGTAAAACCTGGGTTCATCCTTTTAATTCCGGGCGCGAAAGAAGACGAAGATTCGAAAATTTTATTCTAAAATTCGAAAGTACAATGATAAATTCTTTGGCTACTATCGGATGTCTCAAAAATCTTTTGATGTATTGCTTGAAATATTGAGACCCAGCATCACGAAACAAAACACAACAATAAGGATTCACCCATGCCCTTTGTCGTGCATCTTTGTTGGAATATTCAGGGTTTGATTTGTCCCAAGGAGCAGGTAGCCCACGAATTAGCTCGATAAATTGGTCCGTATCAAACATATTTTGCTTTTCGCGATCAAAGCGGCATACCGCAGAAACGTACCGTGCTACAGTTTACATTCAACTGACTGTGTCGTCACAAGGTTCCCGCATCCCGCAATCCTGCATTGCGGCAGCATGTCGCCGCATATCCCGCAAAAACGGATGGTGTTACATCTGCCATGCCATCTCATGCGATATTGCCATACCGCAAAATGGGACCCGCAGTGCGGGACCTGCAAAAACGGACCGTGTAACGCCGCACTAAGAGTTTTAATATGCTCCTCCCTTAATAGTCATCATGCAATAATCATGCGCATTGAAAGAAGATCCTATATTTTTAATAGCCCTTTAAATTCTAGTATTGAATATAAATCGAACATGTCTCCATAGCGCAGTGCGTAGAGTTTCCGACCACGAACCGATTATTCATAGTTCGAATCCGGGTCAGGGGAAAGACTTTTTTATTTTATTTTCGTTTATATTCTGATAGTAAAGTATTAAATAATTGTAGTAATTAAAAAAAAACAAATATTTAATACTTTACTATCAAAATATAAACGAAAATAAAATAAAAAAGTCTTTGTCCTGACCCGGATTCGAACTCTGAATCATCGGTTCGTGGTCGGAAACTCTACGCACTGCGCTATGGAGACATGTTCGATTTATATTCAATACTAGAATTTAAAGGACTAATAAAAATATAGGATCTTCTCTAAATGCGCAGTAGGGAACGCAACGTTTACCGGCAGCCAGACGGGCCGCATGCTGTTCCAGAGAGCATAGTAAAAGATATATCAAAGAGCCAGACGTCTTAAAATACTTGTTTTTCGGACGCTGCTAGCTCTCGTACTATAATCTTTTTATTTAAAGATTTAATCTCTTAGTTTTTTATAAAAAAACGTCGCACATAAAAAGACGCTGTCGTAGTAACACTCACCGATAGAAGGAACCTTATCACTATCTTTGACGGGGGCCTCCGGTTTTTGGTCCCTGGGACTCTGCCGCCTGCCCTTGACGGGACTCTCGCGGTCCTTTTTCGTCAGGATGACCTCAGCGGCGTCGCTATTGGCCGAGACTATAGGGGTCACTTCTTTTTTCGACGAACTAATGAACTCTTTTGCTGTGTGCTGCAAGAAAAAAAAAGAATTGTTAAGATAGAAATGCTTTTTTCAAAGACATTTTTTACACAAAATATGCATTTCTTATGTCCCCATAGTTTAAATCAAAAATTTTATAGAAATACTAATAGTAAATGAGTAAGTGACAAAAAAAATTGGTGATTGCCTTTTAAAAAATAAAACAGGTATACAGAATGTCTTTTAAATACGTGCTAAATATTTCAATTGGTAGTATAATTCAACCCCAGAAATACGCCATTGAGTTTAACAAAAAAAATGTTGAAAATCTTTCGTTTTTCATGGTATTTTCTAGGAAATTTAAAAACTTTTTGGTGCCACTGGTTTCTAAAATTTCTCGAAGGTGCATCAAAGCATTACAATGTTGCCATCTCATATATTTCCCAGTATCTGTATATTTGTATGCTAATAAGTTCTCAGTAATTTTAATACTCTATAAAAACACACTGTACATATTTTTTAACACACACTACCGGGTGCGTCTCAAAAATGGATCACCTCTATAACTTTTTTACTTTTTTTTTAGATAAAAAAACGGGATTTGGTATGTTAGTATATGACATAAATTAGGATTGATTAACGTATTCAATTGTTTTCTGTCACTTTTTGTTTCACCGGAAATGACTACTACTTTTGATTTTTAACTGGTACCCTAGGTATTTTGTTGTACCCTAGGTGTTTTGCTTTATTCGATAAAAAATGACACTCTGAATAAAACGACATATATGTCAACTATTGACATTTTCGAATATGGTTTATTTCAAATTGCAACATGCGATTCATAACGACAATTTGACCCGAAATACCAAGTGTGTGGTACCAAATTATTCGTAAAAAAATACTTTTTCCAAATATGCTAATGAGCCACCCTCTTTCCATTTGAAAAAATTGGGGTATGCTTAAAAATACGATTTGGGCATCTTTTAACTGGCCCGGAGGAGATACGGATAACATTATCTAAAATCTGTTTCTCCAAGGCTCCTTGATTAAAAATTAGTGTTTTTAACACATCCATGGCACTCTAGATTGAAATTTAAAGTTCAATTTTGTTTTAAGCAAAAGTTGACATAAGATATGTCATTCTATTCAGAATGTCTTTTTTTATCGAATAAAGTAAAAAAATACTGAGGGTGCCATTTAAAAATCAAAAGTTGTAGTCATTTCCGGTGAAACAGGAAGTGGCCGAAAAGTTAAAAAAACCCTGTTATTTTTATTTAATTTTAAAAATGGCAAACAGAAAACATGTATCTTTTGTCCACATCTATCATAATTTAAAAAAATATTTAAACTAGTGTTTTTCCTTTAAATTTAGTGATGTACACTGATACTGAATAAAATTAGTCACTGTATTTTTTTATGTGTAAAATTATTATTCTTTTAATATATTATGTTTATTACTGTAAAGAAATAAACATACAAATATACAAACTATAGATAATTCAGGAGATGGCAACATTGCAAAGCTTCAATACGCCATCAAGAAATTTCATGTGGCACTAAAATGTTTTTAAATTTTCCAGAAATTGTCAAGTGCAATAATTTTTCATGGGCGTTTTTTTGTAACCATTTATTGAAGGATCACACTGTCCAACCATACGAAAGGTCGTAGTTATTTAAATAAAAAAAAATAAAGACAAAAAGTTTAACATAACACTTTTATTTCATGAATGAAACAATCTAAAACGTTAACAAGCGTTAGAAATTACATATACATTGGAAAAAAACACTGGGTATGTTTGAGTACTGACCTGTAAAGTACTAGATTGCACGTCGTAATGCACGGGCTGAACCATCGGTTGCGGAGGAATATGGAACTGTTCTACCAGGGGCGGCTCGTGCAGGAGGGTCTCTTCGGGAGTCTCGGGCTTCAAGTCGTCGTTTAGTGCCTGCGCCACTTGTTTCGCGAATATCGCTTGCACCTAAAATTAAAAAAAAAATCCAATTATAATCAGAAAATCAAAAAGATCTGGGTATTTAGCTGCTGAAGGGTATCCCAGGCTGATCGTGCATTAGAAGTCTCTAGAGAACTACAATATTTAGATCGGAGATTTTTTGCACATCACTGTTTCAGTTTAAAAGTAATCTAAATAAAATCGTTTATTGTTCCTTCGTGCTGATGTTTGTAGTTTGTGAGAATAAGGGCCTTGTTGAGTGTACTAACAATTTTCGACCGTGCATGGGCGAATATCTTAGCTCGCAAAAGGGCAAACAAAAACAATAAATAGAATAACTTATAGAATAACTTATAATTTATTAAATTATAAGATATTGGCACCAAACCTTCAATTTTAGCGTCGATTCCGCAACAAGGGACTTCGTACCTACGGGTAGGGACCCGTTAAACTAACAAAACCTCTTCAGTTTTGAACGATATAAATGTGGCATGTTTTGAATGTATTAAACTATAAACCTAGGTATGAGGACAGTTTCTATATTATTATTTATCTTTTATTAAAGTTCACGACAGCATAGTTAGATTCCCTGGAATAGTGATCATGGTTTTCTCTGCCGTGCTCTTCTACATGTGAATTCCAGGCAGAGTATGGCACTCCTTTCATTTCATTTAATAAAATAAGTAGGGCTTTTTACAAATTTAGCGTTTTATTTACATAACCTATTCTCCCCAAATTTCCCAAAATATTGCTTCTGTCGAGGCGCATCCGAGGTAATCACAATAAAAAAATATTTAACACAACGTAGGTTCCTTTCTTTCATTTAAATTTCTTGTTATACAGTTGGCCAAAATATTACCTCTTCAACTTTATTGACGAATTTGGGTTGTTACACTACAAGTTATTTAAGATTTAGTTTTAAAGTGTATATTTTTTTTGTTTTTTAACCAGTATCTTATTACTTTAAATGTCACGCGATGTAAAACTATACTGGCCATGTCATATTGCCATTAGTTATCACTAAAATACGAGATATAACATATAATATTTTTATAAATACACTTATAAAGTTTCACCAGCAGTATTTATAATATACGAAATACAAATAATAATAATTTTTTTGACAGAAGGAACTAAATTGTCTGACGGTTTGACACTTAATGTCAAAGGAAGATAGATAAAATCAAGAAAAAATTATGCTTTAAAACTAAATCTTAAATAACTTAAAAACGATTTATTTTAGGTATAGTAACATGTATAATCAAAAAGTAATTAATTGAAAAACCTTTTTACTAGTGAAATAAAAAAATGGGTTTCCATTTGAAAAAGATGATTTATTATAATTTTTTAAGCGCTCAATTCCATGACAGCCAATGTTATATGATATTTGAACAATTTAATTTTTGAAATAGATAGCTCCTCTTTATGCCACAGTGGCTGTGGTAATCACTCAATTTGTTGTTTAGCCTATACCGATTTTTTTGACAGGCAGTTTTTTCCTTCAAGAATTTTAAATATTTTTCTCTCAAAAACGGTTAATGTTAGGTATAGAGTGTATGCTATCAAAATTCATAAAACTGTACAGAGAATTTAAGTGTGTAATAAAAAATGAGGTACCCATTTAAAATAAGAAAGTTGCCGTGAACTTCCGGTATTTCCGGAAGTGCCGCCATATTGAAAACATTTTTAATCGATAGATCTCGTTGTGAAACAATGATGTGCAAAAAATCTCCAATCTATATAATGTAGTTCTCTAGAAACTTCTAATGCACCCTCAGCCTGGGCAGGGTTGCCAGACGTCCCGATTTAGGCGGGACTGTCCCGATTTTAATCGATGTGTCCCGATATGTCCAGCGGCCCGAGACTGTCCCGATTTGTCCCGCATCTCGTTCTCTGCTTTCAAATTCCCAAAATCTTCCTTCGCCATTATAGTAGGAGACAGGCGACAATGGCATCATGCGTAAACTCTGTTATCGCCTCGTGTCCGCCTCACCGTTTCAAGTATCGACGGTTTAAATACATGACATATCGATGCATCATTGCCATTCCTACTGATTCTTCTTTCTCTCTTCTTTTTCTTTCACGGGATTTAGTCGCTTGTCGCTTACGTTTTGTCGCAAGGTCTTTTGTCTTTTAATTTTAAGAGACCTTGTTGTAGTGTACTTCTGTTCTGTGGTGTACTTGTACTTTGGTGTTTGGTGTACTTCACAGAAGGTAGAAGGTGTACTTGCTCCTTGCTCCGTGTCCGTGGTCCGTGCAGTGAGTGCTTTACCCGAGATCAAACGCGTTATGTTGAGTTAATTTGCTGCATATTACGTACATTTTAATATTATATATAATTATAGGTTAATTCTTTTTTTTTGCAACAAAATGGATTCAGATTCCTCAGTGTCCTCTGATGAGATTGACTGGCTAGGGGTAAATTGTGGTGTTTTTGAAGATGAAGATGATGTGGTCAATGTCGTCAATGACGGAAATTCCCGAGAATTTGCCAACGGTGTTAACGATGTTAAAAAAATCAAGAACTTTTCCCGGGAAAATACAGCGGCGGCTGCGTGTTCCATTTTGCAAAAAAATAAAAGAAAAAGAGAGGTAGGTATATTAAACTATTTTCATATACAGAATAATCCACCAAAAGATACGAGGCTTGTTAAATTAGAACAAAGTTGCGCATTTTTGTGCTCAATAAAGTTACGTTTACAGAGTTGCCAAAATTTCATTTGTTTCCAATATACAGGGAAATATGTACAAAATGTGTAACATTTATTTTATTAAAAAAAAATAACTCAAAAACTATTAATAATTATAGAATCATAAGTTTTCTGCACAAATTTTATATTTTTTTCTTTTTCTACAAAATATGCTACTTGGAAAATTCACCAAATGTATAGCTGTTCAGATATCGATACCAACTTATTTTATTTTTTTTAATACGGACTTTTTAAAATATATTTTACAGACGTCTGGTAACAAAAATGGCCATCATCGGGGGTTTTCTTGAGTACGGACCTGAGAATAATCGATAATGGTGGTTATCGTCAGCATTTATTATAGTTTCTTAGCAATCATGTTAACTTTATATTATCCCCTTTGTTTGGTTTGGTTTGGTTGTGATAAAAAAACAACTACCTACCTATACTATCTTATTTTTAATAAAATATAAATAACGTTAATATGTTTATTATATTTTTCGTTTAGTACTTAAGTATTTTAATTTTAAAACATTTTTTATACCACAATCCCTCAATAAATTATTATTTAAGATATTAAAATAAACATTTTTGGGCGTGGCACCCAAACATTTTCACCTCCGGCGGTCATTCAGTGCGTCCCGCTTTTTCTTCTTCTAAATATGGCAACCCTGAGCCTGGGACACCCTGTATATCCCACTAATAATTTAAAAATGAAACTATAATAATTCTTAGAAGACTGAGTAGATTTTTACAGAATATAGCTCTCTACAACTTGTACCCTTTTACCATAACCTAACCTAAAATCTCACCTCTTTATTGTTCTGCGGCGCTGGCTGGGGCGTCTGCCGCGCAGACGACTCCGCCGACGCGGGATGCGAGTTGCTCTCGTCGTAGATCTCGTTCGATTTGTCCTCGCCCGTCTTCGGGTCGATGATCTGCAGCGCCCTCGGCCTGCGCTGGCGCTGCGCGTTGCGCGGGAACGTCCCGCCTCCCGCACCGGCGCCTCCCACGTGCGCCTGACCTGGCGGAGGAGGCAGCAGCTGCGTGGGCATGTTACCGGGAGCAGCTGCGGGAGGAGCGGCAGCCGCGGGTGTGACGGCCGTGCGGGGGATCATGCCGGCCTGTTGCTGGTAGTACACAGGGACTGTAGAACAAGAAAGAACTAAATAATGGCAAAATCTCTAAGCCTAGTCACGGCCTATTCATTAGACAGCTGGTCGACTTAAGCCTAGTCTACACATAGTGTTTCATCTGTCATTTAAAATAAAAGACCGTCTCTAGACGGTATTCCGTCTTAAGGCCCGTTTTCACGAATCAAGTCACAGGAATTCAACTGATATTCCGTGTATAATATGTTGACAAAAAGAGCAGATGACGTCCATAGTCCATACCAATCCATTTATTTTCTAATATTTTTTTAAGGTAACTATGGATGGGTTTACTTAAAAATCCGTCATGGCGTGGCCTATTGTTTTTAAAGAATCATATTGGTTTATTTAAAAAAAAAATGAGGCTCAACTTTCGTTTAGCCGAAATCTGTTATAGACATTTTTCTAAACATAAAGACACAAAAAAGTGTCCGCGGAAATTTTGTATTTTTATTTTACATAAAAATATGCTTTGACTTTAGAATAGCCGAAATTAGTTACATGAAAAATGAACTTATATTTGTTTTATACGAGCCTTTACGAGCAAAGAAATACAAAAAAATTCCTGCGGAAATGTGTCAATGTTATTTTGTGCACTTTGTTTTTCATACATTTTTCACTTTAGAATCTTACGCGACCCGGGAGCGAACAGGAGTGCTGGGTGGGGTAAAACATCTTTCGGAGGAATAACAATTCTTGTAGAATAGATAATATAGGTTCTTGTAAACTATAAATACCTCAGAATGTGGCACTTATTCTTGTTTTTTAGTAAAGCTTTACGTTTTATATTTTAATAATTAACTGTGATTTTGTAAAAATATTATTAGATTGGTTAGCATATTAGACACATTTAAATTATTTTTTTGGGTTCAAAAGTGCTTCATCCAAGGATTTTTTTCTTTCAAACTGTTCTACAAGCATAGGACTTTCTGCCAACAAATTTTTTTGCTAAATTCGTGGGTACTTTTTCCAAGACTCGATAATATAATAAGATAATTCCATTTGTTGAAAATGAAAATGAAGCATTTCCGCAGGAAATTTTTTATTTTCCTGAGTTTGTAAACGCTTCTAAATAGGCAAAAATATATTTATTTTCTATATAACTGATTTCAACTATTCTAAAGTCTATTAAATTTCCTCAGAAAATGGATAGTTTATTTCCGCAGAAAAATTTTTATTTTCCTCAATTCGTGAATGCTTCTAAAAGACAAAAATATATTTATTTTTTATATAACTAATTTCAGCTATTCTAAAGTCTAATAAATTTCCTTAGAAAATGAAAACAGCTTATTTCCGCAGGAAAATTTTTGTATTTATATGTTATTTTTAAAAATAAAACGCAAAATTTATTCTTTTTATAACAGATTTCAGTTACATATTCTAAAGTGCGAAATTTGGAAATTACGCATTTCCGCAGGAAAATTTGTGTTTTCAGTAGCTGTTTAAAGACAAAAATTTTTTTTTCTAATAACTGATTTCAGCTAAACGAAAGCTGACCCTTTAAATTACAGACATATCTATCAATATAATTTATAAAGATTTTGTCGTTGGACAGACTATACATATATTTGATATCAAAAAACTTCTGCTAGTTAAACCAACTGTCTATTGAATAGGTTGTGGCCTAATATGACGTTTTTTTTTATTAATTCAATCAAACGATACGCAACTATCGCAATGTATACTCACATTGCGCCACTCCGGCTGTGGTCGGTTGCGGATACGAGTTGTAGGGCATGGTGTGCTGGTAGACGGGAGTGGAGTAGGCTGGGGAAATGACGTTAGGGGGCCTGGGGGCGTGAGTGTTGTAAGCTGTATAGTAGGGGCCCGGCAGGTACACCCCCGCGGGCATCATGTAGGTCTGGTTGGCCGAAGAGAACATCTGAGGCTGTAACAAACCCATCATCTTGTTAGGAAGAATAAAAACGGAGATTACTATTTAAATGAGTAGACTATCATCATTCATATATTCTGTCTTCACATTCTGTATATTATACATAATAATAATCCTGTATATTATACAGAATACAAATAGAAATCTATAACAAATCTTATCATCTCGTTAGAACGAACAAAAACAAAGGTTTTAATTTAAAATAGACGACTTTTTATAGTTTCTTGAACATGATTTGTATCATATCTTTTTGACCATCCTGTATATTATACAAGATGCTCACAAAAGTCTGTAACAAATCGATAATCTAGTTAGAGCAAATACAAATAGAGATTAAATTTCGAATATAATTTAGGGTCGTATGAAATTGATTATGTTTATAAAAAAAGCATCAACGCTAAAAAAATTCAATTATTTTTTTCAAAAACAGGTGATTTTTATTTTTAGTATTTTATCAAAAATATAAATATTACTTAAGAAACAAAAACAATGTCAAGCCACTCAAAATTAGTATTTTTTTGTTTAAGAAATAAAAACAAATTTTTATGAAAAATATTCTAAATAAATAAGATATTCAATTAATAATCGATTTACATCAAATTGTGTAATTTAAGTACTACCAAACCAAGTTACATTTAACAAAATATAAAAAAACAGATAAGATAGTGAATGACTATAGTAAGATAAGTTTAATATTTTCGAACCTTTCATTTCAAGAATTTCTTTTCATATAATATACTGTTTAAAGTTAATAAAAAAATAAAAATTACCCGATGCTGTTGTGTAGGCATCCTAGGTGTCTGGTTGGGAGGTGCTCCCGTTGCTCCACGCTGGTAGTAGTTCCCCGACGGCCTCACTGGAGTAGGTACCCCAAACGACTAAAAATAAATTTAAAAAACTTAAGAGTGTTTAATATTTTGCTTTCTCAGTCTAATGTATTGATAAATTCATTCATAAATACATATTTTAAAATATCGATTATAACAAAAAAAATATTTTTGAATACCGATTTTTTTAGAATGTCGATATTTTTGAATACCGATTTTTTTGAATATTGATTTTTGAATACTGATATTTTTAGTACAGATAATTTAAATACAGATTTTTTAAATACCGATATTTTGAATATAGATTTTTTTGAATACCGATATTTTTGAATATTGATATTTTTGAATACCTATATTTTTAATACAGATATTTTTAAATGCCGATATTCCAAATATCGATTTTCTTGAATACTGATATTTTTAAATACAGATTTTTTAATACCGATATTTTGAATTTTGAATATAGATTTTTTTGAATACCGATATTTTTTGAATATCGATATTCTTGAATACAGATATTTTTGAATATCGATATTTTGGAATATCAATATTTTAAATATCGATATATTTTAATATCGGAATTTTGAATATCGATATTTTAAAATAGCGACATTTTTAAATATCAAAATTTTTGAAAATCTATATTTTTAAGCATCAATATTTTTGAATATCAATATAGAATATCGATATTTTTTAATACATATATATTTAAATACAGATTTTTTAAATATAAATATTTTGAATATGGATTTTTTTGAATACCGATATTTTTTGAATATCGATATTCTTGAATACAGATATTTTTGAATATCGATATTTTGGAATATCAATATTTTGAATATCGATATTTTTTAATATCGAAATTTTAAATATCGATATTTTTAATAAAGATATTTTTAAATACAAATTTTTTAAATACCGATATTTTGAATAGTTTTTTTTGAATACCGATATATTTTGAATATCGATATTCTTAATACAGATATTTTAAAATATCGACATTTTTGAAAATCTATATTTTTAAGCATCAATATTTTTAAATATCGATAGATATAGAATATTGATATCGTTAATATCGATATTTTTTAGTATCGAGATTTTTACACATCCCTATTTATATATTTTTTAATTTAAAATATAGATTTTTTTTGAAAAATAAAAATTTATGAAACTCGGCAAATAGAAATAATAACAACGCTCACCAGTTGCTGTATCTGTCCGGAGAGGCCCTTGAGGTCGGCGTTGGGCGGCGTGGACGACTGGTTGGGAGGCCCCTGGGGCGGTATGCCCCTGAGTCCTGCGCCCTGGTTGGGCTGCGCCTGCTGCACGTAGCCGGCGCCCGGTCCTGTCACCTGGAACGCGTCCGATCCTGCAAAGCCGACAGCGGGGGAGAAAAAAAAAGGAAAATTAGACAAAATTGACACAAAATTTATATTCTAATATGGTTTCGCTGTAACCCGAAAATGTGTCTTTATTTTTATTGTTTTGTTAACGTAAGATTTGTAACACTTTTACGAGCACCCTGTATAATATTTGATAAGAATAATATCAAGGTATGTGTGGCGACATCTGTCGGAGCAGTATTTTTTTTACATCTGAGCGTGTATTGCTGGTTGAGGTTTCATCTTTAATACAGGACATTGTTTGAAGCGCCATCTCTTAGACTCAAGTGGAAATAGGTTTTACTGGGACCAGAAAGAACGTTACAGAAAATTTTCGAACGTTTGAGACTGCAGAATCATAGATAAACCCTTGTGATAAACGAAATAAATTTAGATTGGAAAGCCCGTCAACATATATAATTGTTTTGGGTCGCGACCGTTGTACGCGATTTGGCGCTGCTATAGCAGTTGCTAAAAACAACCGTAAACAATAACAGAAATAAAAATAATTTTCTCTTGTCAAAGTCAGAATCTTCAAAAATTATAATCTTCAAAATTTAAACAGCCCTCATTGAAAATATACCGAAAAGTTTTTAAAGCGTCCATTCTCAAAGTAATTATTACTATCTTGTGAGTTTAATTTAAATTTTACCAGGGTTGGCATGATATATATCAATGATATATATCGGATATATATCATTGATATATATCATGATATTTATAAAAAAATAAAACTCAACAATCAGAAAGACAAAACAAAAAAGATAATATTGATTGGATGTGGGATATTTCAAATGTACCAAAAACTTTGCCAGAAACACTATCTATTGATTCTGACTCTGACGAATCTGACGATGGTTTAACATTAATAAAATTAATAAATCAAATATAAATTTCTTTGTTGTTAGTTTTTGAATATCTGTTTATTTTTTTGAATTTCCGTTTACTTTTTAGAATTTCTGTCTATTTTTTAGAATTTCTGTTTATTTTATAGAATTCCTGTTTATTTTTTAGAAGTTCTGTTTATTTTTTTAGTATTTCTGTATATTTTTGTTTTAATATTGTAATTATGGGCAAAGCAACAATAATTAAGTTGAAATAAAAATATTTGCTTCAGCTCTTGATTTTACTTGATACTAAACGCAATTTTACATAAAAAAATTAAAACAAAAATAAATATCAAAACTTAGATATATATCGGATATATATCCGATATTTGATATTTATATAAATATCATATTTGCCAACCCTGAATTTTACTTACTCAAACCCGTGATAATTGTGAAAAAGTGGCATTAAAAACTAAAAAACTCTGTTGTAAACAGTGAACTGCAAAAACCATCGTGGATCGTGGCATAACGTCAGTTTCTAATGTTTCACAGGTATTTCAAATACATGTCCTTATAAAAATAAAAATTATAAAATTTATTTATATTTAATTTATAAAATAAAGTTTCTTGTATGAAACTAGGGCTGTAACGAGCCCTGTTTTTTAACTTGACCGAGTACCGAGTACTCGGCTAAAGGTAATGGCCGAGTACCTAGTACTCGGCTGCCGAGTAGTCTTAACAGTTATGCGACCTTTATCAATATATACTAATTATACTATACACCATAACATAATATTATATTTTATACATAATATAAATATATAATTTAACATTAAAGAAAGCTAGTTAAAATTCCCGCAATTCCACAGCCTTAAACCAATGATCTTGTTTGTTTTGCCTATGATTGGCGAGCGGCTGGGATTCCCCGACTACAAACCAATGACCTGGTTTGTTTTTCTTATGGAGATATTGTTTTATTCTGTGGTTCTCCATGCAAACTGATATTTCTAATCTGCTGGATTCTGGATTGATTCTTTTAAGGTGCGGTGGCGACGTTGATTTTGTTTTAAGCAAAACTTATATGTGTAACTAATTTAAAAAAGTCAAAAATAATTCAAACAATTAATAATACCCTTTAAAGTTATATTAAAATGAGTGACAGTGCTGACCTCTTTTAGATTATAAGTATTAAATTATTATTTCACTGTGTTTGTGTTATTACTTATACTTATTATTATTACTTTGCTAAAATACATTAATTGAAGTTATGAATGAATAACTTTTTGTTTATTTTATTATTTGCCACTGTGAGTCTCATTTCTATCTGTTTTGGACATGCATAAATGGATTGTTTCTATTACTATACTTTACTCGGCCTACTCGGCCGAGTAAGGCCGAGCACCGAGTACATATTACTCGGTTAAAATTCTGGCCGAGCACCGAACTACTCGGTACTGGGTGCAGCCCTATATGAAACACATCGTAATTTATTTATAAAATTAAAAGAAAGTAATAATAAATTTGAATAAATATTTGGCGACATAATTCCGGAAAAATCCGAACCGATCCGAAATTATCAAAAAAGCTTTGGATCGCGACCGTTGCAAGAATTCTCGCAAGAATAGCGCCAAATAGTGTGTACATTGTCCTTATGGGCACTTTCCAATCTAAACTTGTTTTATTTATCTATGTTTGAAATACTGTTAGTTTTTGAATAGCGAATGTTGACAAGGATTTTTTTTTCAAATAGTTAATTGTGTGTAATCAGTATAAATTGTGTGTATATAGTGAGAAAATAAATCCGTAAAAAAAGTATTTTATCATGAGTTTAAATTAGTGGACCCACAGAATCCGTAACAATAATTTATTTTAAGCATCAAAAATGACAATGACATTTTGACATAAAATTGAAATTATTTAAATAACGACAAAACCTAGGTAAATGATGCATTTCTCGTAGAATGCAAAAATCACAAAATACAAGTGTTCTATTTAAAATATGCAATTGACAAGGATTTTTTGAGTCACAAAATGGAAAATATAACCTTAACTTGAATCATTTGAATTTGTAGCCAAATAAAATCGTAAAAAACTTTTAAATAAACTAGTTTCGACAGACGATATCCAAAAAATGACAGATAACAGATATTAATGTCACATTTTCTATGAATAGAATACAGAGTCATGCATTGTAAAAATATCTTAAAAAATATTTTTTTAAAATCAAAATTGCAATAACCTCTCATCCTGGGGCGATACATCCCTGCACGAACACGAAACAAATAAAAACATACACTGAAACCACTAACAATAAACTGCACAAAACACTATCCAAAAGCACTGACAAACGTTCTGGTTCGAGTCGAACCAGGAACTGAATGAGATTCTTTAAGATGCTCAGTACCTGAGGGTTTTGGGAACCATTTTTCTGACAAACAATTCGCTTAAATTGCCATTATGGCCATTAAATAACGAGAAATATAAAGGTAGACAATGGGACACCACAGACCCTTAAAGGGATTATTGCCACGTTTTACAAAAACAAGGTAATTATAATTCTATCAGTCATATAAAAATATGGTACTATGATAAACTTTATTCAAAAGAAATAAGAGTTATTTTATGGATTTTAAGCCGATTGGTTCTTACTGGAGAATATAGTGTAAGGTAAAACCAATGATAATAATAGGAACAAATAATGGCGTCCAATAAAAGTTTGAATTTAAATTATGTTGTAAAATTAAGTCTTGGAAAGAATTCCCCCTTTTATTACACAGAACGGCATTTTTATTGTAATAAAACTTTAAAGGCTGACAGAACATTATTTTGTGGCTATTTTCGCATAAAAAAACTGATTTTGGAGCAAAGTAATTTACTAGCCTAAGTGTCGCTAACCATGTTAGTATCATCAGCAGATTTAGTGGAGTGCGCAGAGACTTTTACCTCGGAATTCAATTACTGTGAATGTATTAATGTGAAATTCCTTCTGTATTGTGTTTTATAGATAAAATACTAAAATGTTTACCCATTTTTTTTTCGTTGCTTTTAATTTTTTATTTTAGTAAATTCTTAATTATTTCCTTCTTAATATTTTGATTTTTTTAATTCTTTTTCTAAGTAAATTTATTGAAATAAATAAATCTAATGCATAAGCTATACCTGTTCTGCTTATATTCTAATCATTGAAATTTTGATTTAAATCAAATTATACAGGGTGGCGCGTCATATACGACGCGGTTTTTGTAAGGAGAACAAAAGTTTATATTGAAGTGAAATTTTCTGAGCTTATGTAAGTCAATTTAAAGTATTTTCTAAAATTATGTAGAGTTCTACAGGGTGTCCCCAAAAAAAGTTACACATCAAAGTTATGTTTTTTGTTATGGGACACCCTATATATTAATTGATTTTTGGATTCTAGTAAAAAAATAAAGGTTTGTTCCATTAGAAAAGTATATGACTAGAATGTATAGTTTTTGAAATACATTCACCGACACAAAAAATGGGCACCTTAAAACTCTGATGTATTTTAAAAAAGTTAATATATTTTATTTTAATGGGCCGATTTTGATGATTTTTTTAAGCAGTGTGTTACCAAATTATTTGACTTCTTAGTATCTTTTTCTAAATTAAAAATGAAACTTTCCATCTGTTAATTATACGAGGGAAAACAAAATGTTGATATTTTTGATGAAATTTTGAAACACCCTGTGAAATATGTTAGAACAGCAAGAAATTTAAAAATTATTTTATCATCTAGATAAATCCTTTCTCGATGGTTTGTTTTTTGGTTCATCTCATTAGCTTTATTTTTGTTGGAAATATTTCGTTTTAAAGAAGGCACTAACATTTTTCGTAATTGTTACATTAAGACCATGCCTTTGCTTTTGGGTCTAGTCAACACATCTAGTAAGTTCTGGTCCCGAAGCAGGCCTTCTTGACATAAGATTTGCTTCATTTAATCTTCTTCTTGTAGTCCGTTAGTTAATATGTACGGTTCTTAAGTGCAATTCGTTATCAATTTGAAAAGCTGGCAAACGGCGGTTTCTTAGCGACAAGCTTGCAATAAGTCGATCGTCTCGATTAGAAGTTCTCATACGAAGGTTCCTGGACGATCCACATGGACGTGGTCATAATTCAAAGACCATTTAATATACTCTATGGTATTAAGGTATTTTTGGAACCAGAATTTTACAGCAAATTCACTAAACTCGAATAAATAAATGATATATATTTGACTCACCCTGTACATCTATAAAAATATTTTTGAAATGTGAACTACTATTAAACATATATTTTGTAAAAGGTTTGGAGTGAAAATCTCAAAGAGGAATCCTGATACAGAGCCTTTTCCGCAAAACGGAGCCATCTTGTATGTATGTATGTTTATTTAAATACTAAAGTGAAAGCAACGAATTTAAATAGGTAAACTTTGTAATATACCTTATTAACAATACAATGCAAAAAGTTTTATAAAAATTCGTTCACAGTAAATGAATTCCGAGGTTTGTATCTCATAAGGGCTTAAAGCACTCCACTAATTAGCTGATTACTAAGCTGTAAAAAAATAAACAGCTCCCGATTTTTCTGAAGTTTGAATTTTCAACTTATGGCCAGTTTTAAGAAAGAAATACTCCACTGTGCAACTCGTCTTTACTTTGCGTAGGTATTTGCTTTTTAAAAACAAATATTTGTTGACTGATTCATACTCAGTTTTCTACATTTTCACAATAACTCTTACATCAAATCATTCAAAGTTCTGTCAAACAACAACTAAGCATCGAAAATAACTGAAAAAGATGTACAAAAATCAAAGTTTAAAACTTTTGAGATTACCCTCGTAGGGGTCAGCTTAGGTACTTACTGTTGGGTTGTTGAGGCAGTAAAGGCGGATATCTATCAATTCTAGTTAAGGAACTATAAAACTATAAAGTACTACTTGAATCGGGTAACATTTTCGTACAGGGAATTTTATTGATATAAACTGATTATATTTTATCAAAAAAACCTCTTCATTTTTTTATTCTATCTCTAGAACACGTTTCGTAGCGATAGAAAAAATTAAAAAGTTTATAAGTACTTAGTTTTAGAATAGAAATAATCTTAAATACAAGATGTATTATTGTTTAAATTACAATAGACATATTATGCATGGTGTTCCCGAGAAATCTGTACAGAATTAAAAACCAGGGCGTCAAAATTAAAGAATAATCTATTAGCATTCTTCTTATACGTTATGATCGAAAAAAAAACGGCGTCAGAGACAACAACCTACTTAAGAACAACTGGCAGTAAATGCCATTGTAATGTCGGTAAGCCACTGTTATGGCGTCTAGAGCTGGACCACACCAAAATTACCATCGATTGTCATTCCCTAGCCGTCTTTGACGCCATTTTTTTTTCGTTTGTATGGTATATAAACTCACAGGCACAAAATTCTGCTGCCTTAAAATTTTGACTAAGTTTGATATTTCATAACTTTTGAATTTGTAATCCGATTTTTATGATTATGGCATTAGTTTGTAGATAAATTAGTTGGCATTATTTTAATGGCTATTTCGGTTAGGTGGGTTTATACCGGGGTAAATCAAAACTTTTTTTTGCAATAAATACAAAACACCCTGTGGAAAAAATAGGATTTTGGATAAAAAAAACACTTTCCTGTAATCGTAGATGTATTCTTAACATTCCATTTTTTGAATTATCCTATTATGCCTATTCTTTTATAGGCTACACATTTTTAAATAAAGTACTGATATTTTTACAACCTTAAATTTGTTGAATAACATTTTAATAAACAGTGCTTTCCATAAAATCAATAAAATGAAAAATATACGAAATAATATACATGTACTGATTTCTTTCGAAAATCGACATCTATGAAACTATGAACCCTTCCTGGACACAAACGGTACATTGTGAGACAGGATATTGTAGAGAGAAACAAGCCCTATAACATAGGATACAACTTTTTAATGAACAGTGCTTTCCATAAAATCAATAAAATGATAAATATGCGAAATAATATACTTGTACTGATTTCTTTCGAAAATCGACATCTATGAAACTATGAACCCTTCCTGGACACAAACGGTACATTGTGAGACAGGAAATTGTAGAGAGAAACAAGCCCTATAACATAGGATACAACATTTTAATGAACAGTGCTTTCCATAAAATCAATAAAATAAAAAATATACGAAATAATATACATGCACTGATTTCTTTCGAAAATCGACAACTATGAAACTATGAACCCTTCTCCGACACAAACGGTACATTATGAGACACGAAATTGTAGAGAGAAACAAACCCTATAACATAGGATACAACATTTTAATGAACAGTGCTTTCCGCAAAATCAATAAAATGAAAAATATACGAAATGTACTGATTTCTTTCGAAAATCGACATCTATGAAACTATGAACCCTTCCTGGACACAAACGGTACGTTGTGAGACAAGAAATTGTAGAGAGAAACAAGCCCTATAACATAGGATACAACATTTTAATGAACAGTGCTTTCCATAAAATCAATAAAATAAAAAATATACGAAATAATATACATGTACTGATTTCTTTCGAAAAACGACAACTATGAAACTATGATCCCTTCCCCGACACAAACGGTACGTTGTGAGACAAGAAATTGTAGAGAAAAACAAGCCCTATAATATAGGATACAACATTTTAATGAACAGTGCTTTCCATAAAATCAATAAAATGAAAAATATACGAAATAATATACATGTACTGATTTCTTTCGAAAATCGACATCTATGAAACTATGAACCCTTCCTGGACACAAACGGTACATTGCGAGACAGGAAATTGTAGAGAGAAACAAGCCCTATAACATAGGATACAACATTTTAATGAACAGTGCTTTCCATAAAATCAATAAAATGAAAAATATACGAAATAATATACACATACTAATTTTTTCCAAAATCGACAACTATGAAACTATGATCCCTTCCCCGACACAAACGGTACATTGTGAGACAATAATATCCAACTCTGTGTATCTTATATAAGTTTTTCATGTCAATTTCTAATAAATGCCATATATAAGGGTCGGCTCGACAAAAATTATCGTCGTTGTCCGTTCAAAGGCTACTGCGACGCCGTTTTTTTTCGATGGCAGGGTAGTGCACGAGAGTAATAATTGGAGGGGCGATATTTAGATAGAAGCGATAAATGTCGGCAACTATGTTAGGGGAACGAAGGAAATTTACGAAAAATCGATAAATCGCGTGCTGCGACGGCAGATTCCAGATGCACAACAACGGAAGGCCGCGGCCCGCTCTATCTGGGTCAGGTCTACGGTTCGCTTCGCCTTTTTCAGCCGGGCCGGACGATTTTACTTTTTAAATTCCGATCAAACGTCAATACGTCACCACGTCGCCATTGTTAAAGCCGACCGGACATCAAAACAATTATTTCGATATGTTTTTTTTGCAATTGCAGCTTGATTCTTCACGAATATATCAGACTTATTGCCATTTTTAAAGGATTCGTTCTTATATCATATACCGGGTGCGTCTCGAAGTGGCCCACAATTTTGATTTTTAAATGACACCCTCGGTATATTTCTACTGTATTCGATAGAAAATAACACTCTGAATAAAATGACATATCATATGTCAACTTTTTATATTTTCAGTTAAAAAATAGTATTTTAAATCTCAATCTAGAGTGTCATGGCTGTGTTAAAAACACTAATTTTTAATTAAGAAGCCTTGGAAAAATAATTTTTGATCGTCTAATGTTTTTAGTGTCTTGTCCTGGTCGGTTAAAAGATGCCCAAATCGTATTTTTAATCATATCTCAATTTTTTCCAAATGGAACAAAGGTGGCTCGTTAGCATATTTAAAAAAAGGATTTTTTACGAATAATTTGGTACCACACTTGGCATTTTGAGGCAAACGGTCGTTATGAACCGCATGTTACAATTTTAAATAAACCATATGCGAAAATGTCATAAGTTGACATATGATCTGTCATTCTATTCACATGTTATTTTCTATCGAATAAAATAAAAAATACCGTGGGTGCCATTTAAAAATCAAAAGTTGTGGTAATTTCCGGTGAAACAGGAAGTGACCGAAAACAATTGAATACGTCAATCAATCCTAATTTATGTCATCCTACTAACATACCAAAGCACGTTTTTTTATCTGAAAAAATAAAAAAGTTATAGGGGGCGTGCCTCTTTTGAGACAAATTGTAGGTTTTTTTTATAGAAATACTTAATTTTTTTATTCACTCCTGATAACTTAATTATTAGAGAAAATACGGGGTTCGATATAGGGATAGTAAAAACGAACAAAATTTTCAAGGTTTAATATCAATTCCCACTAGATCCCTCTGCTTGAATTCGATATACAAGGTGAGTCTTAAGTAAGTGCAAATATTTTCAGTCCTGGTAGGGCTCCATAAAAGAAACATATTTTCTCTTCTTTTTTCTTTTTTTTCTACTGAAAATTGACACTGAGGCGGATGGTAAGTCTAGCGGGCAAAACATCAGTAGCGATGTTTGAGATTTAAATAAAATCTAAGAACGTAGCAAATGGTCTAATATATACATACATAGTAATCATAGAGTTAAATTCATTTATTTATTAACAACTTAATTTATTAATAAATAAATAAATACAAGATTGTTGTCCCGCTAGAATGACCATCCAACGCAATGTGCGCCGCTAAGCAAAATTAAAAAAAAATTTGCTTAAATTTTGAGAACCACTGGATGACTGAATCCTTTCTGGGTTTAAATTTATTCTACTACCTATGTTGACATATTAAAAAATTAAGTTTTTTAACTAAAAACTAAAAAAATTTTCTAAATTTTTTTTCCCAAAAAATAACTCATAGGCGTGTTTCTGGTGTCGAAATATACTACCCCTAAAAATATTTGCACTTATTTAAGATTCACCCTGTATATTTTTTTAAAAATAATTGTAGCTTGATTCTTCAAAAATAGATCGGACTTATTGCCATTTTTCATCGGACTTATTACGATTCGTTCTTATATCGCACACAGGATTGTAAAAGAGATAAGAAATTTTTAGTGTTTTTAAAACACCCTGTGCAATGAGCAACTGACAATTGAAAATATTTTGTGACATCAACTTGTAGCCAGATATTTTATGAACAATTTCCTTTTTATTCACTGATATCTCACTTATTACAGAAAATACAGGGTTTCAAAAAAAAGATGGATATTAATTTTACCAACATCGACATAAATACCGTATGATCGAATAAAAACGGCGTCAGCGATAGCCATGAAATGACGATCGATGACATTTCTCATATAAATTTACATATAAAATGACAGCGATCTTCATTTCATAGCCATCGCTGGCGCTGTTTTTATTCGATCATACGGTATTTCTTTACCATCAATATTTACAAGATGAAAAAAAAACGTGAGTATAAAATGAGACAAAATTCCCTAAAATCTCAACTAGAGCAGCTGATGCTCCTTTGATGCTACAATCTAACGTGTTCCCAAACATGTTCCATCGGATTAAGATCTGTGGAACAATGCATTGTTGACATTCAAAAAGTGGACACAACGAGCCATGTGAGGGCGGGCATTGTCGTGCATTGCAGAAAATTTACCCCTATATGAGGGTCGAATAGTACAATAGTATCTTTTGGTACATCTGGCATGTACCCTTCTGTATTTAACGCCGGCATTAACATATACCACCTTCAATAATGCAGTTCAAATAAAACTGAATTTGCCCACATCCACCTGTTCTTTAAACACCCTGTAGTTTCCTTAATAATTCAGATATCACAGTGAATAAAAAAAATATGTTCATAAAAAATCAGGCTACAATTTGATGTCAGAAACTATTTTCAATTGACAGTGGCTGACTCC